GTGTGGGACCAGTTGTTGGACCTGGAGTTGGTCCTGGCCGGTATGGCCCTGGGTGTTGGGCCAGGTTCTTGTGTCCGCGGGTATGCCTGTGTTGGGCCAGGGCGTGGACCTGGAGTCGGTCGGGGGTGGCCTGGTGTTGGCAGTGGTGGTCCTGAGTTGGTTCCATGGGGTGGTCCCGGAGTTGCCCAGAGTGTTGGGCCAGGTGTGGGACCTGGAGTTGTCCTGGGGTGGGTCCCGGAGTTGGTCCTGGTGTCACCTCTTCAGTGCCTGGTGTGGGTCCGGGTGTGGGTCCTGGAGTGGGTCCAGCAGTAGGTCATGGTGTTGGGCAGCGTGGACCGGAGTCGCGTCCGGGTAGGCCCTGGTGTTGGCCAGGGGGTGGGACCTGGAGTCGGTCCGGGGGGGGGTAGGCCCTGGTGTGGGCCAGATGCGTTCCTGAGTGGTCCAGGGTAAGGCCCTGGTGTTGGCCAGGTTGGGACCAGGAGTGGTCGGGGGTGGTCCCGGAGTAGGCCCCAGGTGTTGGCCAGGTGTGGGTCCTGGAGTTGGTCCTGGAGTGGGTCCAGGGGTAGGCCCTGGTGTTGGCCAGGCGTGGGACCTGGAGTCGGTCCGGGGGTAGGCCCTGGTGTTGGGCCAGGTGTGGGACCAGGAGTGGGTCCGGGGGTGGGTCCCGGAGTAGGCCCAGGTGTGGGTCCTGGTGTGGGTCCTGGGGTAGGCCCTGGTGTTGGGCCAGGCGTGGGACCTGGAGTCGGTCCGGGTAGGTCCTGGTGTCGGGCCAGGTGTGGGTTCCCGGAGTTGGTCCTGGGGTAGGCCCTGGTGTTGGGCCAGTAGTAACTGGAGTCGACCGGGGAGGCCCTGGTGGTCACGGTGGTCCAGGTGGTCCTGGGGTAGGCCTGGTTGGGCCAGGTGTGGGACCTGGAGTCGGACCGGGGGTAGGCCCTGGAGTGGGTCCGGGAGTGGGTCCAGAGATCGAGTGGAGTGGTCCTGGGGTAGGCCCTGGTGTTGGGCCAGGGTGAATGAGTCGGTCGGGGTGCCCGGAGTTGGTCTCAGCGCAGGTGTGTTGTCCAGACGTGGCCTGGTGTTGGGCCAGGAGTGGGCACTTCGGTGGGGTGGTCCTGAGTGCATGGTAGTTGGGCCAGCTGGGACAGTGTCCGGGGTGGCCGGCAGGTGTGGGACAGGAGTGGGGTCGGGGTGGTCCGGAGTAGCCGCGGTGTGGGCAGGGTGTGGTGCCATCTGGGAGTAGGGCCTGGAGTGGGTCCAGGGGTAGGCCCTAGAGTGTTGGGCAGGCGTGGGACCTGGAGTCGGTCCGGGGTAGGCCCCTGGTAGGTTGGGCCAGGTGTGGGACCAGGTGCAGTGGTCGGGTTGTCGGGGGTGGAGTAGTGCCCGGTGTGGGTGCCTGGTGGTAGGTCCTGGTTTGGCCGGCAGTGTGGACGGAGTCGCCGGGGTGGTCCTGGTGTCGGGCAAGGTGTGGGTCCCGGAGTTGGTCGGGTGAGCTGGAGGGGATAGGTCGGGTTGCCAGGGTGTTGGGCCAGTGTAGGACCTGGGCGACCGGGGTAGGCCGATGGGTCCGGAGTGGTCGGGTGGTCCTGGGGTAGGCCTGGTGTTGGGCCAGGGTGGGACTGGAGTCGGTCCGGGGGTAGGCCCTGTGTTGGCCAGGGTGGGACTGGAGTCGGTCCGGGGGTAGGCCTGGTGTTGGCCAGGTGTGGGTCCTGGAGTTGGTCCTGGGGTAGGCCCTGGTGTTGGGCAGGATGTTGGTCCTGGGGTAGCCCTGGTGTTGGCCAGGCGTGGACTGGAGTAGGTCCTGGGGAGGGTTCTGTGTGTTGGGCCAGCGTGGGACAGGCGTGGGAACCAACGGTCAGGTCTGGAGTGGCCTGGGGTAGGTCCTGGAGTTGGTCCTGGAGTGGGTCCGGGAGTGGACAGGGATGCTGGTTAGGTCCTAGTGGGCCCAGGAGTTGGTACTGGGGAGGGTTCTGCTGTTGTCCCAGGAGTCGGTCCAGGAGTGGGACCAACGGTTGTCCTGGGGTTGTCCTTGTGGGTTGTTTCTGGTTTTGGGTAGTGGGGGTTGGGCATGTGGAGGGGTGGTGCTGGGTGGGCCGGGAGTTGGACTGGGTGTAGGTCCTACTGTCGGCCCAGGAGTAGGTCCTGGGGAGGGTTCTGCTGTTGGCCCAGGAGTCGGTCCAGGAGTGGGACCAACGGTCGGTCCAGGAGTTGGTCCTTGTGTGGCCCTGGAGTTGGCTCTGGGGTCGTGGAGTTGGTCCTGTATGGGCAGGGTGGTCTGGGAGGGGGCGCAGTTGGACTGGTGTAGTCCACGTCGCCAGGAAGTAGGTCTGGGAGGGTTCTGCTTTGGCCCAGGAGTCGGTCCAGCGTGGACAACGGTTGGGCCTGGAGTTGGCCCTGGGTAGGTCCGGGAGTTGGCCCTGGTGGCTCAGGTGTGGGTTGCCGGTCCTGGAGTGGGTCCGGGAGTTGGGACTGGGGTGTGTTGGTCCTACTGTCGGCCAGGAGTAGGTCCTGGGGAGGGTTCTGCTGTTGGCCAGGAGTCGGTCCAGAGTGGGACCAACGGTCGGTCAAGTGGGTCCTGGTGGGCCTGGAGTGGTCTGGGGTAGGTGGGAGGTCCTGTCAGTGCAGGTGCCTTGGTGACCAGGTGGGTTGGTTCCCAGTGGTGGTGTAGGTCCGGGTAGGTCGGAGTTGGACCTGGTGTTGGTCCTTTTGTGACCTGGTGGTCCGGAGAGGTTTGTGGACCCGGCGTGGGCCTGGAGTGGGTGTGGTGTGGTGTTTGGGTTGCTGGGTGGGTCTGGGGTGGTCCGGGTTTGGTCCTGGGGTGGGTCCCGGAGTTGGTTCTGGGGTTTCCCTGGTGTGTCTGGGGAGGACCCATGTGGACCTGGAGTGGGGCCAGGTGTTGGTTCCGTTGTTGGACTCGAGTTGGTCCTGGGCTGGGAGCTGGTGTTGGGTTTGGGTTGGACCTGGAGTCGGCCCAGGCGTTGGGGACGCAGTTGGTCCAGTGGTGGGTCCTGGGGTGGGTCCAGGAGTCGGTTCTGGGGTTTCCCCTGGTGTGGGCTGGTGTGGACCATGGTGGGCCTGGAGTGGGGCCAGGGGTTGGTTCCAATGTACCCGATGGGACCTGGGCTGGAGCTGGTGTTGGTGTTTGGGTTGGACCTGGAGTCGGCCCAGGCGTTGGGGACGCAGTTGGTCCGTGGTGGGTCCTGGTGTGGGTGGTCCAGGGTTGGTTCTGGGGTTTCCCTGGTGTGGGTCCTGGTGTCGGACCCATGGTGGGACCTGGAGTGGGGCCAGGGGTTGGTTCCAATGTGGGACCTGGAGTTGGACCTGGGCTGGGAGCTGGTGTTGGTGTTTGGGTTGGACCTTGAGTCGGCCCAGGCGTTGGGTACGCAGATGGTCCAGTGGTGGGTCCTGGGGTGGTCCAGGGAGTTGGTTCTGGGGTTTCCCCTGTGTGGTCCTGGGTGCAGGTGTCGGCCATGGTGTGGCCTGGAGTTGGCCAGGTGATGGTTCTCTCGTAAGGTCACAGGGGTTGGGCCGGCTGGGTATGCTGTGTGGGTGTTTTGGTGGTGGACCTGGAGTCGGCCCAGGTTGGGGACGCTGTGGGTCCGGTGTGGGCCTGGGGTGGGTCCGGGGGTTGGTTCTGGGGTTTTCCCAGGTGTGGGTCCTGGTGTTGGACCCGTGTTGGACCTGGAGTGGGGGCAGGTGTTGGTTCCATGTGGGACCTTGAGGTTGGACCTGGGCTGGGAGCTGGGGTTGGTGTTTGGGTTGGACCTGGGGTTGGCCAGGTGATGGTTCTCTTGTAGGCCCGGGGGTTGGGCTGGAGTCCATGGGTCGTTGGTCGGGGTCATGGTGCGGGTTGGGTCCAGGTGTGGGACCAGGTGTGGGTGAGTCCGTGGGTGGTTCGGTAGGGGGTTCAGTTGGTGGCTCTGTCGGAGGTTCAGTTGGTCAGTGTGGCTCGTGGATGGTTCAGTGGTGCTTCTGTTGGAGGTTCAGTTGGAGCTTCTGTAGGAGGTTCAGTTGGAGCTTCTGTAGGAGGTTCAGTTGGAGCTTCTGTAGGAGGTTCAGTTGGAGCTTCTGTAGGAGGTTCAGTTGGAGCTTCTGTAGGAGGTTCAGTTGGAGCTTCTGTAGGAGGTTCAGTTGGAGCTTCTGTAGGAGGTTCAGTTGGAGCTTCTGTAGGAGGTTCAGTTGGAGCTTCTGTAGGAGGTTCAGTTGGAGCTTCTGTGGGAGGTTCAGTTGGTGGCTCCGTGGGTGGCTCAGTAGGTGGATCCGTGGGTGGCTCTGTCGGTGGATCCGTGGGTGGCTCAGTTGGTGGCTCTGTTGGAGGATCTGTTGGTGGCTCCGTGGGTGGGTCTGTCGGTGGATCCGTGGGCGGCTCGGTCGGTGGATCCGTGGGCGGCTCTGTCGGTGGATCCGTGGGCGGTTCGGTAGGGGGTTCAGTTGGTGGTTCCGTAGGTGGCTCAGTCGGCGGCTCCGTGGGTGTGTCTGTTGGCGGATCTGTAGGAGGTTCGGTTGGTGGATCCGTGGGTGGTTCGGTCGGTGGCTCAGTGGGTGTTCCAGGTTCATTAGTCGGCCTTGGTGTTGGACCTATAGTGGGACCAGGTGTTGGTGCTGGAGATGGAAATGGAGTTGGACCCGGAGTTGGTCCGGGACTAGTTCATTGTTGGCCCTGGTGTAGGATTTCTGGTTGGGGTGGTCGTGGGTGTATCTGTTGGATTGGGGCTGGGTCCTGGTGTGTTGGTCCAGGTGTTGGTCCTGTAGAACAGCCTACATAACAACATTCTGAGGGAAGCTCCGGGAAGCATACTAATGGCCCTGTCACATTTGGGGGAACGTAAGTGCAGCAAGGATAGTCTTTAGTGGGTGTTGGAGTGGGCCCTGGAGTTGATACTGGCGTTGGTGCTTGGGTTGCATCCAAGGGAGTTGGTCCTTGAGTTGGGGATTGTGTTGGTTTGCTAGATGGCAGAGGTGTTGGAGCTGGTGTTGGAGCTTCAGTTGGACCGGGCGTTGGAGCTTCATGTTGGTGTGGTTGAGAATGTGTGTGTGTCTTCTACTTCGGCAATCAGTCCTGTTGATTGGGATGCTTCAGAATACAACCACAGTAATGATTTCATGTCAATGCAAAAGTTCACAGTCACTACCTCAGTCTGACTTGATGTCTCCCCTGGTGGAATCACAACTGGATCAAGATTAGGTAGTAAGTCTACCACCTCACCATTGCGGTCACGGTCAAAGAATGTAACAGTGAGGGTGACCACACCAGTGTTGATAATCGTGTAGGTATATGTGACCTCAACTGAGCATGTTCCTTCAGGCTTTCCAAGCTGTTCCACTGGGACACCATTGGGGTCGACAGCTTGTATAGTGACCTGGGCATCAGCAAAGAGCAAATGGATTGGGATTAGAGAACGAGATACAAATCCTAGCCACAACAGAAGCATGATGCACTTACATCCATAACTGTATCACAAACATAAGACGGGGCCGGAGATGGTACTGGTGTGGGCCCAGGAGTAGGATTTTGTGTGGGCTGAGCAGTAGGAGCAGGAGTGGGACTGGGTGTCGGCTGAGGGGTAGGAGCGGAGTGGGGCTTGGTGTGGGCTGAGGCGTAGAGCAGGGTTGGTGCTGGGGTTGGCTGTGGAGTGGGCGGATCTGTTGGTGGCTCTGTCGGGTCCTGTTGGTGTTCCTGCAGTTCCGTTGGCTGTTGTGTTGTTGGCTGTGGGATGGTGGTTCGGTAGGCCGACGGGTTGGATTATTGGTAGGCCGACGGGTTGGATTATTGGTAGGCCGACGGGTTGGATTTGGAGTAGGCCGAGGGGGTGTAGGCCTACGGGAGGGCCGAGGGGAGGGAGGCGGGGTTGGTGGTCTTGGTGTAGGAGGGTTGGTTGGCTGTGGCGCCGTGGTTGGCTGTGGTGTTAGCTCTGGTGTTGGTGCCGGTGTTGGCGCTGGCGTAGATTCTGGTATAAAGAACGTCGTAGTCCTTGTAATGTTTTCTCCTGTGCATGTTTGCGGTTTAGGTGTCTCAATGCCCTTAAGAACCAGCCCTTCCAACAACCCAGCCGTTTGCAGGCTGACAATGGTTGTATTCAATGCAAAGAGGAATTCACCAATGGTTGGCGCTCTGGTTGTCCCATTTCCGCTAACACCACTTGCGCAGAAGCACTTCGTAGGATCAAGTTCCAAAGAAGGCAACAGCCTGAAAATGGAGGTCCGGTTGTTGAACTCAACACTCCTGGTGGGTTGACGATCCGTCTCAACTGTGAAGTTCATGAAGGGTTTACCAGTTACGTTTCTCTCCACGACAACGGGAGTGAACTGGCCAGAAGGAGGAATCCCAGAATCCAAGCAAATATCGATGGCATCGGTAACTCGCACAGTAACAGGCTGGGTGTAGTTGTCAAACAGGGTCCCTGGACAGCTATAAGACTCAAAATCAAAGGTGACTTCAATGGTAACCCCTGGTGCCTCTTGAAGCCTCCTAAAGATGACAGCATTATCATCAAATGTGTTGATGGAAAAGATGGTTGCATTCTGAACTCTCCTGAAGCTCTGAGTGTCACAGAGCTCAAAGTTGAGTGCGTTGTAGGTATCCATGAATGCCATCGAAAGGGCTGACCTGTCAATGTCCGTCATGTTACTTTCATCGACTGTGTCACCAAAATCAAGTGTGTATGGTTGAACAGCCCTGTTTGGATCCGCATCACAGGCAAAGGTCTCCACTTCGAGGATTTCTGCTACAAAAGTGACATTTTCCAACATCATGGTCTCCCTAAGTTTCCAGATTGTCTCATTGAAGGCTGTTCCAAATTCTGTGACATAGGGAGATCTCACAAGGTCCTCTGTGTTTGCAGGGCAGTGGCAGTCGATATCGGAAGAATCGAATTGCATTGTCAGGGTTTCGAGATCATCTTTGTCTGTCAAGAAGGGAGGGAATGGCATTTCTAGGACATCCGTCAAGTTGTTTGGGTTTTCTGTGAATAGTAGCAGGTCTAGCCCAGAGCAGTTCCTGCAAGAAGCCACGATATCAAAGACGAGGATATTAGTCCTTCCATCGAGAAGGTTTGGGAAGACATGTGTGATAGTGACATTCTCGATCATGCGATGGTATGGCTCATCACATGCCCAAAAGTTCATTTCATTGAATGTGAGCAAGAATGCTCTCTCCATGAGGAACCTTTCATCAGCAGTCATCATTTCTGGTCTTCCTTCGATATCAACGATGATAAGTGTGTCGAATTCAGTCCTGTTGGGATCGCATGTGTAGAGGGTGCTATTTTCGACGATGTCGATGGGAGGGCCGAGGAGGGTCCTGTTTGGAGTTGCATCGACAAGTCCGAGCTGTGCAAATCTTGTGTGGTTTCGTTGGTAGGGATCGAACCTAGCGGTTTGGTTTTCGAGGTAAGCTTCAGTGAGCGCATCGAGGAATTCTATTTCTGTGGGTGCGCGCCTTTCTGGGAATGGAGTTTTACAGGGGCACCTTGTGTTGAGTCCATTAATGTCTGCAGTGGCCCCGAGGTCTAGGGTGCGAAGTCCCCTGGCTTCTTGTTCGAATCCCATTGTGAGAATGCGCTGTCTGTGGAACTGTCTTCCTTTGGCGACTCCGTCATTTCTGCGAAGTCCTCTTCCACCGTTCTTGGAGACGATGGGCCTGTTTCCGAAAGTGAGAGTCCCATTAGTCAAGTTGAAAGTGATGTTCCCACGAGTGACTGAGACCATGTCATTGATTTCTTCTAGCTGTGTGGGTGCAATGGTTCCAGAAACATTTTCAGTTTGCTGGAATGCAGCAGTAAAGTCACTGAAGAAGCATCCGACAGTCCTTGTGATGGCCTTGTGGAAAACAAAGGCCCCCTGAAGACGAAGTGCATCAAGATTTTCGCAGAATCCGAGTAGATCGTATCTGACCCTAACAAAGACGGAAGGATGGTTTGCAGTGGCTTCGTTATCAGGTGTGAAGAAGAATCTCTTGCTGCTGTTGTCGGCCATGGCAGCGTAAAGGCGGCAGTAGTATGGATCACAGAGTTGTTCGGACAAGTTATTGTATGTGGTGACGATGAGCTCAGACATGAGCAAGATTTCTGAATTGTCAATGTCGAGATGAGAAGCCGATTCGGCAATGAGGGGAGGAGTATTGACCCTTGACCTGTTGACAGTTCCATTTAACTCATGAGTCAAGAACACAGATGCTTGGAATAGCTCACTCTGATTGGTACAAGGTCCAATGGACGCATTGTACACGAGATCGACAGGTGATGGATTTGAGTAGTTGCTGGCGACATGAACAGGACGACGGGTTGGAGCCGGGGAGGGTACGGTGGGCCTTGAATTTCCTCCTCCAATTCCTCCGCCAATCCCGCCAATTCCCCCGATTCCACCTAGTCCTGGGAGAGAACCAACTCTGCCGGGATCTTCGGCCTGTACCGGTGCTGTCAAAGCAGACAGGAGGAGGACTGTGGCCACAACAAGGACCGTCTTCATAGTACTACCAATTCCAGTAATACTACCAGTACCAGTAATACTAGTATTCCAAAAGGAATTCTTCATCTTCTGTTCTTCGTTTGGATTGATCGAGATTGAGATTGAGATTGAGAATCCGTTGAGTGGGAAAAGCAGGGAAAACAATTGAGACGGAATAAAAATAAAATAAAGGAATGACAACAGTGAGTTGATGTGTATTTGAGGGTTGTTAGGCCTGTACCGGTAAGTGTAAGTGTAAGAGTAAGAGTAAGATTGCACGTACCGATGGGATGGGATGGGATGCGATGCGATGGGAATCGTAGATTGGTTCCGCTATCGAAGCTACCGGTACCAAGCTACCAAGCTACCAACGAAGTACCGATTTCTGTTTTCCGTTTTCCGCGGACTCAAGTGATCTGATCGGATTTGATCTGATCTGATCTGATCAGCTCTGATGAGCTCTGATTTAATTTTAATTTAGTTGGTTTTTCTTTGGCTGCGTTTGTGTGTATCAATGTCTTCTCTTTTAAAATACCGTTCGTCTTTCGTAGACTAGTGAGAAACTTAGACAGCCCAAAGCGGCTAATCTCTTACTGTATCGTTAATAATGTGCTTGAGTGTTTGCTATCACCGTGCTAATACAATTTGTTCTAGCTAGCTTTGAGGCTGAAGATGATAGTCTAAGTCGGCTGTGTATTAGAATGGAACTCAAACTGTTGCAAGATAACAAAACGTAACAGACTGCTTCCAAGCATGCAGTCGAGTCATTAGTTATTTATTTATTGCGCGCTCCTTTGCGTTGCCGCGCCTTTCACAGTCGATAGTCGATCGCACATTCATAGTCATACCCACTTGGTCCCAGTGGTCGAGGATGCGATTCTCATATGCATACCGGTAAAGTGGTGCTACCAGGTACCAGCTACCAGTACCAGCACCGTGAGTAATGTACCGGTCACCACCAGCTTCACCACGACAAAATGCATCCCCACCCAGCCCCAACAACTTGAACTGGTGAAGAAAATAGAGCGGACTCAACGTCAGTGCCAATAAATCTGATTAAAGGACAATTGAGAAAGACTTAACTGGCTGAACAGAAAGCATCTCACTCGTTGAGACATCTAGACACAAGAGTCTCAAGCTAAAGCCCTTCTTACTCCCACCATCTCACTGGTTGAATCAATTACCTAATGGTTTACCACGAATTTGAGATGCTAGCAGCACACAATTCCCTTCTTGAACCGTTCACTATCGGAATTTCGCACTAACTGTGGGTAGTCAGCAAGTGCGTGATTCGGGCGTCTTTTAACCAAAAACGTCAATCGGTCACAGATGTCTCTACAATAAATAAATGGCTGAGCAAGCGCCGAATCAACCTACATGTAATCAACCTCTAGCTAGACTACATGTATGGTCATACTTCTAGCTACATGTACTCGAGTAGCTAGCAGTAGGCACAGGCATTTTTCCTTTTCCAAAGGGGTCAACAGCCCCCACTTACTTAACAAGGAATATTCCAGTCATTCTTGCTACGAGTCTTGAGCCCGCTGAGCGGTCAAATACAAAGAACGCTTGAAGGCCGCAGCGAAGGCGCGAGCACCATGACAATGACATGCAAAAAGAGGGAAAGCTTGATGGTGGCATTCTGCCCTGCATCACAGTGACAGGCTAAAGCAGCCAGGTCGATCATCTTGGTTGATTAGATCTACCTACCTTGAGTACCTTTCAAAATCATCCATGGAAGCTGCTAAGCATACGAACTATGTACATCATGCATGAGAAGTAGACTCATCGTCATTCATTAGATAAATAAGTACCTACCTATTTTGTTTGTTTGTAAATTAAATTACTAGTAAATTTGAGACGCAAAAGCGTTCGCCCCACCTTTGCGGCGCTTGACAATTCCATTTTTTGCCCCTTGTCTTCACCAGTTCCTCTGCACCATACTATACCATACCAGCATCCATGCCATGAATTTCTCCCACTCGATTTGATGATAGATTGTTGACCTCAATCCTGTTTCATTCCAACAATTAGAGCAGCGACAGCTTCAAAAATCTTGGCGTCTGCTTTCCCAATTTGTTGGTCGAACAAACCAAGAAATTTGGAAGAGCATTCTAATGAGGCTAGATGATCAGCTATCATGGCTTTGAGGCGTATCAATCATTCTTTCTTGTAAAAGATCTCCAATGCCTGAACGGGCGGCATCAAAGGGGTCAAACAGTGCTCCCTCCAGCTCGTCAATTTGATTCTGCAGCTCAATAGCCTTCTCTTGATTCAGTTGGGTACCAATAGCGCCAGTCTCTGACGGAATCCAGAGCTCTCGCTCCTAAACTTTATCGCCCAACATGACATGTACCCGGGAGTGCTCCACAATAGCCACACAGCACATTTTACTAGGAATCGGCACTGAACAACGCGTAGACCACACGGACACCATCTGTTGGAGCCAGGCAGGTTAACCCCATGAAAGTTTATCCCCTAATACCCCCAACAATAACATCATCCAACACCATCCATGCCAGCAAGACTCCAAAACCTACAAGGCCTGATATCACTCCGTGCAGTGGATATGAGCCATCGTACGATATCGTAGTTTGAGGCCCCAGAGGCAGTCTAGATGCCAACATCAGCATCAATTGTTCATTAATAACATACAGAGTTACTTCAACTATCCCCATCATGCCATGTACCCGGGAGTGCTCCACAATAGCCACACAGCACATTTTATAGGAATCGGCACTGAACAACGCTGACCACACGGACACCATCTGTTGGAGCCAGGCAGGTCAACCCCATGAAGTTTATCCCCTAATACCCCCAACAACAACATCATCCAACACCATCCACGCCAGCAAAACTCCAAAACCTACAACGGCCTATATCACCCGTTTGGCAGTGATATGAGCAATTTCGGGACGATATCGTAGTTTGAGGCCCCAGAGGCGGTCTAGTGCCAACATCAGCATCCACATTGTTCATTATTATACATACAGGAAGTTACTTCAACTATCCCCATCATGCCATGTACCCGGGAGTGCTCCACAATAGTCTACCATCACAGCACATTTTATAGGAATCGGCACTAACAAGCGTAGACCACACGACACCATCTGTTGGAGCAGGAGGTCAACCCCATGAAAATCCCCTAATACCCCCAACAACAATCATCCAACACCATCCACGCCAGCAAGACTCCAAAACCTACAACGCCTTATATCACCCTGTTTGGCAGTGGATATGAGCCATTTCGGTACGATATGTAGTTTGAGGCCCCAGAGGCGTCTAGATGCCAACTCAGCATCACATTGTTCATTTATACATAAGGAAGTTACTTCAACTATCCCATCATGCCATGTACCGGGAGTGCTCACAATAGCATAGCCAACAGCACATTTTATAGGAATCGGCACTAACAACGCGTAGACCACACGGACACCATCTTTGGAGCCAGGCAGGTCAACCCCATGAAGTTTATCCCCTAATACCCCCACAACAACATCATCCAACACCATCACCCAGCAAGACCCAAAACCTACAACGCAGCCTGATATCACCCCGTTTGGCAGTGAAATATGAGCCATTTCGGGACGATATCGTAGTTTGAGGCCCCAGAGGCAGTCTAGGTGCCAACCTCGGCATCCACATTTTTCATTAATACATACAGGAAGTTACTTCAACTATCCCCATCATGCCATGTACCCGGGAGTGCTCACAATAGCCACACAGCACATTTTACTAGGAATCGGCACTAACAACGCGTAGACCACACGGACACCATCTGTTGGAGCCAGCATTAACCCCATGAAAGTTTATCCCTTAATACCCCCAACAACAAATCATCCAACACCATCCACGACCGAAAGACCAAAACCTACAACAGCCTGATATCACCCCGTTTGGCAGTGGATATGAGCCATTTCGGGACGATATCGTAGTTTGAGGCCCCAGAGGCAGTCTAGGTGCCAACCTCGGCATCCACATTTTTCATTAATACATACAGGAAGTTACTTCAACTATCCCCATCATGCCATGTACCCGGGAGTGCTCCACAATAGTGCTATAGCCACACAGCACATTTTACTAGGAATCGGCACTATACAACGCGTAGACCACACGGACACCATCTGTTGGAGCCAGGCAGGTTAACCCCATGAAAGTTTATCCCCTAATACTCCCAACAACAACATCATTCAACACCATCCACGTCAGAAAGACCCCAAAACCTACAACGGCATTATATCACTCCGTTTGGCAGTGGATATGAGCCACCCCATCAAAGTTTATCACTTTGAACTCCTTTAACACTTTTAAAAAGGCAATGAGAACCCGGGAATAAATGCAAATTGGATCAAAAAAGGACTCTTTCATTAAGATGTTGAATGCAGGTTAAGCCATGTGTGAGCATTCTTAATACAAACAAGGCCAGGAAAGATATAACAAGTATATTGGTGTAGTGTTGAGCCAATTTTTTTTATGGAGTTAACAGAAGTTGTAAAACAATTTACTTTGTAGAGTACTATTTTACTATAGTGTAAATTTTCGATGGCTCAAAACCGGCCTAAAACTGGTACTGTACATGGTACTTGTTGCATGAACCCTTTTTTGCTGAACTTTGCTAAATTAACCCCAACCCTCGAACCCTAGTCTACCGCAGGGCACACGATCAAATGTTTGCCAGGTGCATCAGCCATCCTTGGTCTTGATATCTTCATCAAGTATCCCAACCAATTTGCTTTAGTCGGACCAAGAAAACCAAAAGAGCCCAGATGTCTTCATAAATAAACTCAAATCGCAAACCTTTAATAAAAGGAAAGCAAACTACGGCTGTCTTGAGAGACGAGAGAAGCAACAGCTTTCAAAAACAAAAATCAAAGTCGATTAACGAGAACGAGAACGAGAACAAGAACAGGGCCAATGACAGGGCCAATGACAATCACAATAACAATCACAATGACAATGATGGCACCACTACGGCTACTACAGCTACTACCTGTTTTGGTGTTGATGACTGCCCTGCATGTACCAGTTGCAGTGGCAGCAGGTACCGGTACCGGTACTGGTAAAGCTTGCCACTCCACCGCAAAGAGCTTGCAGGAAGCCATTGATTCTCTGCCAGGTCAAACAAGCGGGACAGGCATTCCAGAGCTCTTGCTTTGCCCTTCTGTGGAGATCGAGCTCACCCAACCTATTCGGATTCATCAACGCAGTGTCCGCATTGGCTGTCTCACTACTGGTACTGGAAATTTGTGCACTGTAAAAGGAGGAGAACCACAAGAATCTCGTTTGATTGAAGTCATTGGCACTGAAAACCCCTTTGAGACTTTCACTGTGCAACTCAGCCAGCTGCTCTTGGACAGCGGTGCCTCTTACTACCAAACTGAAGACCAACATGTACATGTACCGGTACCGGTACCGGTACCGGTATCAGTATCAGTAAATGTACATGCCACCATTGTAGGAGGAGCCGGAGTGTCCGTGTTGGGAGCTAACCTCGTGGTAGAGGATTGTCGTTTCGAAAACAACGTCGCGTCTAGCCAAGGCGGGGCTCTCCATGTCCAAGACCACGGAAGACCCATACTATTCATTGTCACCAACACAGTCTTTCAAGAGAACCTAAGTATTGAAGATGATTGCTCGTCCATATACTTTCAACAACAGCATCCCATGACCATGGCAGAGCTAAATACAGAACGAGACTTTGTGCCTAGCCGACACCTGCGATCTGTCATTGACCAATGGGATGATCCCGCAAAAGCATCGGAGGCGCTGGACCAATACAGACCTAGACCAGGAGCAGAACTTTGTTTCTAGCTATTAATTAAAAAAGCTATCCATATGCCATACCGGTACCAGGCAGCATGGACAACATAGTAGTGTCCAAAGCAACTAAACTAATAGCTTGAAAACCCGTTCAGAATCAGACAGCAACAACATCAACTTGGCTGTTTCAATGATTACTAGCTAATGCGTAGTATTTCAAAGGAAGCACGAGCTCGAGATGCCTTCTTGCTTCGAAAGACCCAACCAATTAGCTCGATGCCAACCTATTCTGGTTCAATACCGGTAAAAGCAAGGGCGTCGAGTAGAATCAAGTTAACTGCTCCCAAGTGAGTCCTGGCCTGAATGTCATTTGGCCCCAACCATCAAGCCCAACCAATTTGCTTCTTGCTGCGATCGCTCTTGGCTTGGTTGCTTCTTGCTGTTTGTACCGCCCGGTACGGTATTGCATGGATGCCTGCCGGTTCGTCAGTTCACGTTCCTTGTTTGTGCTGCCTGGCCCATGGTGGTCTTGGGAATTGGCTGGGCCTTTCCCATGTCGTACGTACTCCAGCTAGCTAGTGCGGTAGTCGTACTGGCAGGAGCTTGTGGGAGTAAAAAGGCGGTGACTGGGACTGGTTAGACGCTCACTCTCCCCATTTTTAATCACAGCAAACAACAACATATTATTACTAGCTAGCTAGCTACCGGTAGCTAGCTAGTATTTTAATTCGACACAAGAGGCAACAACCAGTCGACAATCACCAAAGTCAATGCAAGCGCAAGTGGTCTTCTTCATTACAGTGTACATACCAGGTACTCCAAGTAGATGCTACTCGGACTAGCTAGCTAGTAGATCTTTAGAGTACTAGTACGTAGTAAAGTGGTGAGATGGTCTCGGCGTTTGTTGCCTTTGAATCCCGCATCTGCAGCATCCGAGGCTCCAGCTCCAGCAGAAGTTGCTACATGCAGTACTAGTAGTACCGGTAGCGCCAATAGAAGTCCTACACGTCGGACCAGCAAAGTGGTGATGGACTTTGATGAGAGCTTGCATGACAACAACAGCGCCAGTGGTACATGTACATGTACAAGTTCAGGTACATGTAGCAAGAGGAAAAGCGGTCGTGCACTTCCACCAAGGCGCCGCAGTAGTGTGCGATTCATGGATCGAGTAAGTGTGCGTCGGATGGAGCTAGAAGAGTCCAGGTCAGACTTGTTCTATAGCAAGCAGGATATTGCTAACTTCAAACAAGAGCAAGTCAAGCACAGCCAACTAGAACTACAAAGGCAACAAGACGCCAAGCGAATGGCGAAACTAAGGGCAAAACAAGAACGAAAACTGAAGATCCAACAAAGAAAGGAAAACAGACTCAGGCAATTGCAAGTACAAAATGAACAAGCTCGCAAAAACTCAAAACCAAACAACACAAACACCAGAATCAGAGACAAACCAAAAAGACTAAGACAACGAAATTCAAGCAGCAACAACAAACACAACAGTCTGCAACTCGCGGATTTTCTAGCCGAAAACAGTAACCCAACGCCCATAGAACAGGCTGAGGAAGAACGGGATGCTTTCTCGGTTTATTAGTGTAGACACGATTGTATGCAATCCAACGTAAAGCTCTATAGATAGTACTAGCTAGAGACGTATGTAGAAGACACCAAGCAAACATCTGCTCAAACCTAGTACAGTGCCGCGGCCGGTACTACTGTACCACAGTTACGCACCCTAAGGAGTCCGAGCGGTCACAACCTCACCGGTGAAACCATCAAAGAAGGGCATGTCCAAGTTGCAGCAATCCAAAAACACTCCATCTCGGGTGGGACAACAATCATCTGCAAGCCCAAGAGCGGAACAGGCAGGGTGAACGTCGCAAGAACGAGCTTCACAGCACTCCAAAAACACATTGTCAGCGGTAGGACAACATTGACCTGTCAGACCCAAAGCGTCACATTTCGGGTGGATCTCACAAGTCTCGGGACGCTCTTCACAACACTCCAAGAAAACACCGTCATCCGTGGGACAGCAGGCACCTTGCAGCCCAGAACACCGTGGATTCGAAACACACAGCTGCGGTTGGCAGCAATCCAAAAACACATTGCCTTCAGGAGTGGGGCAACAATCGCCCACCAAACCAAGCGCGTCACATGCCGGGTGCACACTGCAAGACCCAGGAGTCTCATTGGTACAGCAAGACTTGTACTCGCCCCAAACGTTGGGACAACACTCTCCCACATGGCCTTCGTCAACGCAGGCGGAGTACGCATCACACGATGGATTCCACCACGAACCGCAAAGTGGACTGTCCGCACATGCAATGTCGGCACAGTCGATCCAACCATTCTGATCGTCATCAATGCCGTTGTCGCAGATCTCAACTGCTGGTGTGGGAGCGGGGGTGGTAGACTGACAGGCAGGATCAATCAAGTAACAGTCGCTATCCTGACAGTCCATGGTCAGATCTCCATTCCAACCAAACCCATCATTGTTGAATCCATCTGTACAGGCACCTTCTTCCGATTTGGCAGGGAGCTGACATGTATTTTTACTCACGGGTAGACAATCAGAGGTGCAGCCCGCAGCAGCACTGACCCAATTGGTCAAGTAGTATGTATCAGAACGTTGTACAAAGGAATCGATCAAAATGACGATTTGATCAACGCTGGTAACGGTCGTGTCGGGTGTGTCGTAGAAATCAAAGTCTAGCTTTTGGTAGTTGACTCCATCCTTTTCCAGAAAGGCGAGGTAGCGAGAGTGTCTACCGGTGGGGTAGTTGTCCGGAGTGGCCAGGCTGCTGTCTTCCAGCTGGATCCAGAATCTGGTACAGCCTGCCGCGGTCGGAGATAGGGCATCCATGTAGAATTTTCTAGCCGATTCAACGTAAAGTTGCGGGTTTGGAATGGCATCGGACGAGAAAGTGATGTGATCGTAGACTTCTAGGAGATTTCGTTGGTAGGTAATATTGGCCGAAGAGGCAGCGTCATCTCTCTGTTCGGAATAAGTGCCCGTACTGGATTCGTAGACTGCTTGGCTGGCTCCAGCCCAGAATCGGTAGTTCGTTCCGTATAAGTCCTGGACTTGCACTGGCATCCAGAGTTCATAGGTTCTTCCACAGTTAAAATAAATGCTTGCTTCGACGTATCCAGAGTGCGTCCCAAAGCCGACCTTGATGCAGTTTGGTTTGTCATCGACCGGAATGTAGTAAGATCCCTCTGGAACCCACCATTCAATGTATGTGTCGTAATCATTGTGTGGTTGAAGGTCTGTATTGATTTGAACGCAATACATCTTGTCTTGTGCATTGAACTGTACGAGTGTATCTCCGACAAGAGTTGGAGTTGGTAGGGTAGTGGTTGTCATGTCGTAAACGCGAATATAGTCGATCTCGAAGGTGTTTGGGAAGGAAGTGGTTTGGTCCGGATATTCTGGCCAGTTTCCGCCCACGGCCATGTTAAGGATGAGATGGAAGATGCTTTCGAACGGCCATGAGAATTTGGGCTCAATGTCCGCATCGGTAAGAGTAAGGAACTTGTTTCCATCAATGAACCAGGAGAGTGAGTTTTCATTTTTTTCTAGAGCAAAGTCATGAAAGTAATCTCCGGCGTGTTCAGGGAATTTGACGAGTGCCCCCTTTTCGCTTTTGTCGCCCCATTCCACGCCGTAGTGCATGACTCCGTAGGTCTGGACATGATGAGATGACAGAGTTTGCCAAAGTTGAAGTGTGTCCTGTAGGTACTGTATCTTACCTGGTTGGGTTCCTTTCCAATAAACTCCATAATGTCAATTTCCCCGCCTGTTGGTTTTCAAAGCAAGTGCAAGTGCAAGTGCATGTAAAGGAGAAAAGTTGAGTTGAGTTTGAGTTGGACAAGGTAAGACAAAGCAAGACAAGACTTTAAGGTACCTGAAGGCCAACTAGTAATTTCCTGCAGAGAGGGCATCATCCAAAAGGCAGGCCACAATCCCTGACTTTGCTTGGGTACTTTCATGGAAGCTTCAAATCTGAGTGGTTTGGTCAAGTCAAAATCTGCCTTTCCCAGAGAGCTGATGCGTGCGGAAGTGTAGGAACTGGTAGCTTGGTCGTACTTGGCAATGATCTTCAAGGTGCCGTTGGAAACTTGGACGTTTTCTCCTTGAGTGTAGAACTGCCACTCATTGTTTCCCCAGCCGCACAATCCTTCGCCCAAGTCACATCCATCGCCCACCATGTAGCTCCACTTGTTCAGATCCAATTCGGTCCCGTCGAACTCATCGCTCCAAATCAGAGTGGGACACTGACCAAAGATTCCAACGGGACTTGACAACGTCAACACTAGCAACAACAGACACTTCATCATCAATGCGAAAGATCTACCGGTACCGGTACTTCTAAAGGTTGTTCGAAAACTGCTTTGTTTCTGTTTTATGAGACCAAGATGATAGAGTAGACTCGACTCTACACGCCATTTTCCTTGCCAAAATCTCGGCCGCATTGGATCGACAAAATCATGCCGAGTGATTCTCTTGTGTGAGTCTTGTTGTCTAAGTATCAAAAAGGTATCACACAGATACTTAGAGGACGACACTCCAACGGATGCCAAGCGTGGCGAATCACATCCTGCGTCATCGGAACTCTTTCAACCCGTCGCGTCTCCGAACCCTCCGATAACGGGTCATGTAAACGACATGCTATCTAGCTACCGTACAGTCGTACTAGCTAGCTAGAGCTTGTGAGAGAAGAATGTTGTATTGCGGCCTGTCAATGTTGGCGCCGAATGCAGCATGGTACAGTACTGTAGTGGTACAGTTGTACAGTGCCAGCAGCCTCTACGGAAGGAAGTCACACCGGGTTTGTCATCGCGATTCGATTCGATTCGATTCAATCATTGGTTACGTATTGGATGGCATCACGACTCAATCAAATACATGCAGCTACAGCGACTTTCTGGGCTCTTTGGAGCGACGGCATGTGGGTTCCATACCGGTACCATACAGTTCTTCCGAGTGACAGTGGCTTACTCGGCAGTCTAGCTGGACTAGCTGCCACTACTCGAGCAGTTCCTCTCCTGGAAACAAGTAGTGTGGGAGGATGCACTACGGTACTGGTATGGGTGGTAGCAACGATCCAACAGCACCTGTGCACCACGATTTTAAAGTGGAGTCATTGACCCTGACCGGAGGATCTAGCTAGTGCTAAGTATTACCAGTACAAGTCACTAGGAAACGGTAGGGAAGCGAGTTGGTATAGGTTTTGCTGTTGATTCAGTTTCTGCTTAAGTGAATGGGATTCGAATGAGCCAGTTGTAGCGAGAAAGAGGCAATGCCATGCTGTTGCTGCTGTTGTAGTTGTAGTTGAGAGTGAAGTACCATGCCCATGAAAGAATGAGCAAAGCAAGTAGTGCCCCACTAGATCTTTTCCACTTTTGTAGTTCTCTCCGTAGCAAGTCGGCTGTGGTTGTGGTTGTGGTTTCAGTTGTAGTAGTTTCAGTTGCTGGAAGGAGAGCCATGGCAGCCTCTAGGTCTGGGTCATCTGGATATTCATGGTGATGGTGTTGGTGATGGTGAAAAGTTTCAGAGGAAAGAGGAGGAGAAGAGGAGTGTTGTTGTTGTTGTTGTTGACTTGGATGAGCAGGCAATGAAACCAGTGCTGGTGTATGTGTATGTGTATGTGTATGTGTATCATGTAGATCTAAAGATAGACATGACACATCACTCTTGGCAGATCGTCGGAACCTCAGTCGCCTTGGACTCTTCTTGTTGTTGTTGTTAGGGTTGGAGGAGGAAGTGTGATTGGAAGTGTGATTGGTGTGTGACCAACTGTGTCTTCGTCTTTTCGGAGGCGAGTGTGCGTCCACACGAGTGGGAAGTAGCAAGACTGTTGTTGGTTCTTCGCTGTCTGAGCCACTGGAAGTGGAGACAGTGTAGTAGTCTGAATTGCTGTCTCCACTTTCGGTGCTTCTGTGAGTACTAGTAGTAGTCATACTGGTAGTAGTACATGTATGCATAGTAGTGGTGGTAGTACATGTAGTAGTACAGGTAGTAGTAGATGTGGTGGCAGTGGCATTGGCATTGGGAGTGGAAGTGGAATTAGATTTTTGGAGTTTTCTAGCTTCTCTTCTAGCTTGAAGTTTTTCTCTCCTTTGTCTCTTTTTTGCCTCTTTTTGTTGTTTTCTTTCTTTCTTGTCGTGTTCCTTCTGTTGTTGCAGCAAGAGAGCTTCTTCTTCAAATCGCTCATCTTGGAATTTAGAAATTTCTTGAGGACTGTAGAACAAAATCTCCAAAAGTTCTTCTCTTTTGTCATTTGGCAATTTGAACACTTGGACGTCATCGTCAAAGCTAACCGATTTCTTCATTTGCATATCGTCATCACCTATCGAGACTGATACTGATACTGATAGACCAGTTCCACTAGTACTATTAATAGTAGTACTAGCAGCAGAAGTCACCATGGTTTCCCAATGGAATTTTTTTTGTATTATGCTGATGGCTGCTGGCTGCTGGTTGGTGGCTCGATTTGCTGACCCTGCATGCGACTTTTTCGGTGACCTTCGACGAAAATTGCATAATGCCCCCAGACACGAATTCTCCCAGAGCCAAAACAGACAATAAGTCTTTTTACGATTACTTGCTTCCTTCTCTAAACAATTGTGCAACCAGTCAATTCTCCCAGTATGCCTTTCTCTGATGACTGGATCATAGAGAACGACAATTCGGGTACAACTCCGGGTTAGTCTTGCAAGTTGCAGCAGCCGAACACCTCAATGACTGTCATTCGATCGTCTCGCACCCAGCAACAGCAACAACAACAGCAACAGCAATAGCAACAGCAACAACAAACCCAGCTCCACCATGAAGCTCGTGCTAGACTTGAATACGGAGGCCGCCATGCGAGGCGAGGTGGAGGAGTACCTTGGTGGCCGACCAGCAGGAGTATCCAGTTTTGGGGATTTGGTAGACGTATTGGCACAGAGCCACAAAGTCAAAAATGCCTATGCAAAAAAAGATTTCCACAAGGACCCCTCTGGCATCGATGCCCGGTTCGAAATAACCGGTGTGCTCAATGCTATAATGCAAGGAGCTAAGGCTAAACGGGTGGTGAAGTCTTGGGATGACCTGAAGAAAGAGCTTTCTTTGGACGGGGACGTGGACTTTGCTGAACCGTCGGTTGAGAAAGAAGAAGAAGAAGCTGGCTGGTTGCTTGTTAAGGAGCAGGCCTAGCTAGCACAGTCCAGCCACCCCATCGACGACTTCATTGAACTAACTAAAAGTCCTCCATAGTACTAGTACATTGTTGTGCAGTCATTCATTCCTCTCCAAATAATCAAGAAGATAGTTAGCTAGCTAGATCTAGCAACACTGCCGGTACGTTAGCCAGCAAATCCATGATTAGTCCACCATTCACCATTATCATTACGTTGTACTCGTAATAATATGCAACACCACAACCATTCTTTGCTACATGACACTGTGTCTACTGGTCACAACTACTAGTAGCTAGCTAGCTAGCTAGCTGGCCAGTACATGTAACCAACTGATAGCAACAGGGCATGCACGAAGCATTCCCACACAGTGGTACGTGTGTTACAGTGTAGCCTGTTTTTAAAATACCAGCGAGACGGGGTGATTGATCATTCAATCGTGTAATTTAATCAGACTCAGAGACTTATGGATGCTTACGCTTCAAGCTGGCCAACTCGTAATCTGCAGCAGAAGTTGTGGTTTTTTTTTAAAAAAAATGGTGTGCTTCATGCTATGGTTCATTCATTGACCAAAGACAAAAGACAAGGATCAAAATAAGATGAACGAGATGATTGCGGTTGAGGAGGATGACAACGCTCTGATGAGTCCTCTGTTACTACTAGTAGTAAAGGAGGATGAAGAAGAAGTGAAGATGCCAGCTTCAGTCTTGGCGCTAGAAGCAGGTGGTGAAGGAGAAGAGGGTGAAGAGGAAAAGAAGGAGTTGGAAGGTGAATCTGATTGGCATGCTTCTATTCGAGGTCCTTCTCTGAGCTTTAGTGCCGCAGAGCATCAAAAGAAGAAGAGAGGCAATCGAGGATCTTTGGATGGGACAAGACGATTTCGCAAAGTGGTCACTTTCAGAAATTCACTGGTTCAGACGAAACTCATTGGCAGGCGGGGTGCTGCTAGACAGAGAGGAAGAAATTCTCTCCTTCCTTGGTTCTCCTCCAATGCCCAACAACACACTCAAGAAACACTAGAAGAAATACAGCAACGCAAAGAAATTGAAAAACAGGAAAAGGAAAAAAAGAAACAACTGAAAATACAACTCAAACAACAAAAGGAAAACAAAAAAAAACTAAAGAAGCAAAAAAAGAAACTAGAAAAAGAAACAAAAAAGGCACAAAAGCTACAAAAGAAAAAGAAAAAGGAAAAGGAAAATCAAGACCATCCAGACTCTCACTCTTCTCTCCAACTCAACCACATTGTCAATACACAAAATCAAGATCAAGACAATCCATCCCTCATCTTTGAAGACTCTCTCACAAACCACAACCTGGATGTCAGTCTCAATGTTGAAGATCTCATGGCAAATTCATCCAGAAACAACCAACACAACAACCATGCCAGCACTAGCATCAGTACCGGTATCAATAACGCTTCTGCTGGAATCACTACTGCTGCCATGCACGACAGCATTCTGGTGGATCACTCCAGAAGAAGAAGATCATCGGTCACCACTGCCATTCTCAACACCATGGGAAAACTCAAAATTAATAACTCCAGAAACAAACACAAATCATCCAAACAACCCAATCAGAGTAAGACACTTCAAACACCAGACCAACCTCATGCTCATGCGTCCTATGATTGGTCGGCACACAGACAAAATGCCGCATCAAACCCTCATTCACAAAGTCATGTCTCTTTCAACACATCTCATCAACAGGAACTGGACATGGACATGGACACGGACATGGACATGGAACAACCTAATCAGAATCAGATGCACATGCACATGCGAATTCTACAGGAAGAAGACACTTTTCAGCAAGAAATGACTGCGTTGCCAAAACAAAGCAAGAAGAAAAGCTGCAGCAACAACAACAGCAGCGGCAACAACTGTAACTTGAACAGTTCCATGGATATCTCGGGAGAATCATTTGCCGGAAACTATAGCAGCAGCAACAACAACAACAATAGCAACAGCAGCATCCACAATAACGAGACGACAACAACACCGCGCAGGGGACGAAAACCATCCAAAGTCACAAAGTCGGTCACCAAAAACGCATTCCAACAACTATTTGGCACGAATGCCCAAAAAGCAAACAGAAAGAAGGCAAAGTTGCCGAGCAATGCGCCGCGATCTAAACAATCTACAAAGCGAAACAAAAACAGCAGTAAAGACGACAGCAACAACAAGGGCAGCAACAATGGATCAGCAACCGAACCGGCATTCCAAACGCCGCTGTGCCAGATTGTTTCCATGGAAGCATCGTCGTGAATGGAATGCTGCGGCTGCTGCAGGCTGGTTGTTGTCGATTTGTTGTGACGATCGGAAGGGGGAATGGTGGGGAAGAGGCGCCGTCGTGTGGTTTCGTGTAATGCTGCGTCAGTTCCGTGGATGCTTTGGGAACCTAACTTTGGGTGGCCGGGTGCTTGTATTTATATTATGGCACAGGGGGGTTCGGATGATTGGCTTCTGGATGCATTCGAAATGCGACACACACTAACAAATATCATGGGGATCGAGGGACAATCGTACCGGTACCGTTCAAAACGTCGTGTCGCAGCAACACGTTAACTGCTGGTAAAGCCGATCCTAGTCGTCCCGGAATACGGTATACGGTAGATTTGGTGGAGATCTAATCGAGCCTGCCGGAGGGGCTTATGTGACAAGATAATTGTATACCACATGAATATAATATAAACTCGTGTTCCTGTGAGATCCCGGAAGAGTACTGAAAGTTGTATAGTAATGATTCCGTACTCCACGGAATTTTGCCATAATTTCGGGCGCGCATGCCGGAATCCGGAATGTATCTCTCAACTGAAGGCTTCTTGGCTGGCCGGCTGCGAAATGAGAATACCGTATACCGGATACCGGGTACGACTAGCATCGGCCTAAAGTACCGTCGGGTACCGAACGTATCGTTTAGTGACGCCACGAGGCATAAACTAGGGAAAGTTTTTTTGCAGGGAATGATGGAATCAACCGACCTAGTAGACCCCTCTGCACGAACCATGTGCTGTCGTATAGATTTGTTGGTTGCTGTGGAGTCGCACCGTACCGTGCCGTTACCCTTGCCTGGGATGTGTTTGCCTGCATGCTTGCTGTTCCATTTGACCGCTCGGCAGCGGCTCCCTTCAAGCCTATGACTGGGCACGTCATGAGCTCCAGCGGAAACGGTCGTCTGCCTTGCCTTGTGTACCAGAGCTGTCTGCCTAAGAACACTCCAATTATTCCGATGAAGCAGAGCAAAAGGAAGAAGAAGGCGGGTTCCTTGCGGCTGGTCTGCCAATGTGCAGTGATGACGAAGATGATTTGTACGCGTTCTTAGGGGATGGAGCCGACCCTACCGGTACCCCACCTCGAAGGTCGTCCTCCTTGGTGCGTATAATGAAAAAGTTCATTTCGTTGGGAAAGTCTGACAGTCATCGAAAGAAGAAACGAAAGCAGGGGCAGGGGCGTAACGATGACAGCGACGGTGGTCCCAACTATTCTTGGGAGCACCACCAAGATATCAAGAAAGCACCAAAACGCAAAACGAGCTCCTTTCTTCGCAACCTCTTGGAATCCAAATCCAAATCCAAATCCAAACATAGGGAGAAGCAAGGAAGACGGCAAGAGGAAGATCAACCAGCACCCACGGCATCAAGCCGACATCGCAAATTTGTGGAAGGTCAGCAAAGGGAGCAGAAAAGAACGAAGACGACCGTAAGAGTGAGCTGAGCGTCGAAACTCCATGAGTGACAGTCCCGGTGGTATCGGTAATGTAGGAAGTCTTTTGGCTGCACCTCTTTTTTCAAATATTTGCAAGTTTTAGTAGTGGATTTGGAGGTACCGTGCATGGCTGCTTACATAATGACAAGAACAACAAAAGACGAACTGCGGGAGAGCCAACCTCGGAAGTTCACATGCGGTTGCACGTACTGTGGACAACATGGCTGGGAAGAACTCTTAACGCTCAATCCAAGTTTTGATACATACATTATCTGAGCTATTGAACGCAGTGTCGTGTGCCGTGCCTCCAACAAACCTTCTCTATTTCTTTCTGAAGCAGTCGTGCACAAACAGCAGGAGTACCCTAGACTACTAACCTCTGCTGTCGTCTGCAAATGATTCACAAGAAATGTCGGAAAGTGCATCAGCTGCTTGGTTTTGCTGTTCTTCTTCGTTTTCCACGTGCGATGGCATCATGGGTAAGGTGGACTTGTGGGGGATGGTGTTGGATGCCGTCAGAGAGTACTTTGCGACCATAGAACTATTGGGTGGAGTAGGCCGAACACCAGAGACATGCACAGTACTTTGGCTCCTTGGGTTGCCCCTCTTCTTCCACCACTGCAGGGTCAGCGGAATGAATATCCATAACAGCAAGCTGATGCAAACAGCAAAGAGAAGCGTGATCTGAACAAAGTATCGGGCAGTTGTGTTCGTTTCTTCAATCAGGAACAGAACAGGGATCCCAACAATGGAAAACTGAACCCAGCTGAAGATTGCCATTCCCATGTTTCCAGCTTCACTGAAATCGAGACTAAGATTTCGCGCCAGGTATGCTTGGACGACTGCCAGCCCAAGGGCAACCGCATTGATCCCTCCAATAGCAGCATAAAAAGCTAATCGCGAATTTTCTCTTGAGCCATCGCATACCCCTACGGAACTCCAAGGTTCTCCGTCGAGAGGCACGCGGTGGTACTGCAGAGGATCAACCACTTGCCAAGTGACCAACACTGCAATGTTGGCACTGAGCAAAATGGCAAAGGGAACCAAGACGTCTCTCTCTTTCACAACTGCTCGCCGCAACCCACGAGTATGCAGGAACAGGATGTTGATACGCCGTAGTTTGGAGTACAATGCCGAAAACGCAACTGTGAACCCAACACTCAGTAGCCATGGAATTGATGAGCACGCGATACTCATCCCTTCAGGTGAAGCAATCTCGTCATCGAAACTGAGAGGAATCAACGCCGACCCCATGACAAATACGCCTCCGCAAATGAGCAGCAGGAACATGGGCTGCAAACTGCGCACCACAAAATGCCTTCGGAAATAGACACACCAAACCGAGTATACAAGGGAAGTGAACAATACGATTGCTGCTAAAGTCCAGCCAACGGCGCGAATAGATCCCAGTTGATTCAGTTGTGCTTGAGGTAGGACCGACATGTTCACTTCGAATCGTAGATCATCCCCTACGCACCCTGGGAATTCGCCGCCGCCATCAGACACTCCAATTGCCACTTCCCCCAAAGCGGAACCTTCTGACATGCTTTCCCCGGACGCCCCAAAAGGCAGTGTCAATGTGCCTCCTGCATCGACAGCGATCCATCGTTGGTTACCTACTGCAGCCATGGAGCCAGTGTAGTGCAAGAACTGAGGAGTCGACTTCACTATAACATCCACCGCGAATTCGCCGTCGTTTCGGATGGCAACTGAGCTGGAATCGACAGTCGGGTCACCACTGACGCCCTCTAATTGCATGACACCGCCTTCGTCGGCAACGACGATGGATACCCCATCAATGCGTGGGCATTCAAAGCACGTCGTGTAGTCTTCCAACCAGTACGATGTACCTGCATCACAGTTTTCTTCTGTTTGAACGAAATGGATGTGGGTTTTGATTGTGGTGTCATTGACAAGCCGACCTGAAATGGATCCGTCGTATGGTTGCTCAAGTTGTGAGAGGAAGGATGCCACAACTTCTTGCTCCAAGTCCTGGTTGACCTTTCCCGGCGATTCTCCTGGTATCGTCAACAGCGATCCAGTGAATTGGTTGAATGGATCGTTGAATAGGCAGTTGTAGGAGTCAGAGGCGAATTTGTACATTTGCAGTCGTTCTACAGGCTGGTATTCTTGTTGCGTCTGATTCCAGATGTCCAACCCCACCAATCGACTTCCCACAAGTTGCGTGTTGTAAGTCAGACGAACCCCTGAAACTTGCATGAGATCCCCTCCTGCAACGGTGTCTGCTCCTGAGAAGGTGGCACTGCTGGTACTGAAATTGAACATGCGAAACATGCTGATCCCTGACATGATGCCGGTGCACAAGCTGTAGGGAACCAGAAGGAAACAAAAAGGCAGCAGTCAGCAATAGTTTTTGTTCACGACGCGATGCATCTGCGTATGGTGAGAAAGGCGTGTGCGAGAAACGCTTACGTACGTGTTGGCAAATGGCAGAGTTTCCCATAGCTGCGACACGCGAATTGGCCCAGCTGGCCACCCCGAGCCATGGTACGCCCCCGAGTTAGCAAATGCGAAATCGGCTTGTGTGTGCCATCTCAAGGCATCCGTGAACAAGTTTCCCGCTTCACACTCCCCTGCCTCACATCTGACAATGCCATCGGCCTTTACCAGGGGAAAGTGGTGTGCTGCTTGCCCTACAATGGGATCGTTAGCGATGGTTTCGTCGGCGTATTGTCGCAGCGTGTCGATGTGTGCTCGATATAGATCATCTTTGAGTTGTTCTGGTAATGTTTGCGTGATGTCAGTGCGTTTCAGGGTTGCGTTAATGACCTGTCCGTGGCCATAGGTTCGTAGTTGTACTTGTTGAAAGAAGTTTCCACTGGTTCTGAAGCCGAGTGCCCATGTTTTGTCTCCGAATAGTTTGGGTTCTTGAGTGAGTAATGGATTGACTCCCCCGTAATCCCAGAAGAGTGCCGGAGGGTATTTGTATTCCGTCAGTGCTTGCAGGAGTGTATTGTTTTGGTAGGAGACCAAGTCTGCAACAATGACGGGAATCCAGCAGTTTTTGCCGTTGTTGTTGGACGAGGCTGGAGGTCGAGACTGTGTATTTGTGTAGTTTTGTATGTAAAGTTGGTAAATGTTTTGGTATGGGTTGTCATTGTGATTGTGATTGTCATTGTTTTGGCATCCCCTGTGATTGTTTTGTATGTGAATGAAATCTAGCATATTTTTGGCAGATTGAATCTGTGGATGGTGAAAGTTGGAGACATCGATTTCTTCAACAATGCTGATGATAGCCAAGTTCGTGTGTTGATCTAGGAATACTCCTTTTGTGTAGTGATACCATGAGTTTGTCGAAGGTACAGCGACATTGGAAATGAGTAGAGGCCATTGCTTAGTTTGCAAGGGTGAGATATCCCTGGATTGCTCTCTTCCTCCAGTATTCAAGAACCAGCTTCGTGCGAGGAACAGTTTCCATCCCAACAAGTGTTGTAGTACCAGTCTATTGGCAGCCCATTGCAGAGGATGTTGCTGGATGAAGGGACTTTGAAAGTCAAACTGGGGAATCACGAGTGTGGGTGTGAGTTCAGTCCCGTCATTGTTGGATGATCGCACACTTTCGCTTCTTGCATAGGCAGCGACTGCCGCCACTCCGCCGCTGCAAGACGGGTCGTCGGCATGACGGCAATCAGTGAGAGCTCGACCGCTCAACAGACGAGAGGAAGATAAGACCAGATTCACTCGTGTAGTACTAGTACTAGTAACGTCCATGGCGGAGTGATTGGGTTTTTGAGGAACGATTTCGGCTTTGATGGTTTCCTGGTCATCGTGAACGTCTGTTGGAGAAATTATTTCAAAGTGGACCATAGCCACAGCTATAGATGCATGTACATGTACATGTACATGTACATGTAGCTAGCTTGTAGTAACAGTCGAGTGTCGATACAACAATAACAGCAACAGCAACAGCAACGATCACACCGGTACTGTAGCAGGTTCTCTGAGTTTCTTATTACATGTATTTGGCCTGGACCTGTTGACCGTTGACCACAGCGCCACCACCGTGCGGTGGAGCAGTCAAGGGAAACCAAGTGACTGTTTTCTCCACTGTGGCTTAACAACCCTCTCTCAATGATTTAAGGGTTCTGGTAATGGTGAAACTCTAGATTTAACATCATTTTGGTGAGCAAGCAGACATCCCAACACTCACACATTCTCACTGCTTGACTTGACAGTCTGCTGTGCTGCTACGGTACCTGGTATGTCATATGATAGCTGCAGTACTGTTTGCTTGTGAGGCGAAGCAAGCAAGCAAAGCCCGGGACATTCATCACACTGGGCGGAGAGCTCCTCGGCAACACCAAACCAAGCAAAAATGCAAGAAATAATGTGGACAAACTAGGTAGACTAGTAGAGCTAGCTATTAATACACAAGCAAGCAGATGGTCAAGCAACAACGAAGCTAGCTAGCTAATGAATGAAGGTAGTATGCTTCATACATGTAGAGTTGACCGGTATTAGTAGTAGACTGGATCAAGCAACTGTATTGGTTCAGGTACAGCTATTGGTACCGTTGGCATGACATGTACGGTATGACTGGATCAACAAACTAGATCTACATAAGAGTACTATTAATAGTACCGGTGGCATGACATGTATGACTGGATCAAGGTGCGCACCGGTACAACTGTACTGCTAAGTGCTGTCCATCGACTACCAGTAGTTACTACTGGCTAGTAGTTTATCTAGCTACCGGTAGCTGGGTGGCTGGATGGCTGGTGATCTGATTCTGTTTCCTTCCGGTTGAGACGTGATGTGTGTAAGTAGTTGTAGTCCAAAGTTCAAGCCTTCAGTACTTCAGTAACAGTTGTCCCCCAGCGTCCGAGTTTGGAGTGATGTTGTTGTGTTTGTTGGTATTGTCGTTTTCAAAGTGTGAGTGTTGCGAGGAGATGGCATCGGTTGCAGTTAGGAATGACTGGATCTTGTGGATCATTGATAGATTTAGGATGTATCTAACCAGTGTCATTTTAGTGTATAAACAGTGGTCTTGCTAGATTTAGATGTCATCTAAGTACCTTTATTTGAAGGAGAGAAACTTCTTCCGGAGAATGTTCGGTACTGAAACTATTAATAGTTAGAAGTGCACGAGCGCGGCTGTGCAGCGTGACCTGGTTTTGCACATTTAGATCAGTACGGTACATGTGGTACTACTAGCTTGCTCGTAGATGCAACCTTCATGCAACCTTCGTTCTTGTTGTCAATGGTTGGGACAACTTTGGTTGCTCTCTGAAGTCTTGCTTGGTCACACAACGCAACGCAACGCAACACAACCAAACCAAGCAAAGCAAAGCAAAGCAGCGCAAAGCAACCACCCACCCATACACTATACCAGTAGGCAGTCAGAATGACAATGTTTGGTCGAATAAGACGTCGGAGTTCAAGTTCTTGTGAAGGAGTTTCAAGTGGAAGTTCAAGACTTAGTGGAAGTGGTTTGTCTCTGTTTTCCAAGATGCTCAAGAAGACTTCCAGCACTACTACTAGTAGTACCGGTAGTAGTGATTCTACATCTACTTGTACAACATCTACATCAACAAGCACTACTAGTAGTAGTACATCTGGTAGTAGAAGAAGACTGAAGAAGAGGCAACAGCGAGTGTTTGAATTTCTGTCACAGAATGACAAGACTCATCAAGTCAAGCAAGTTTGGAACTTCAGCAGCAACAGCAGCAGCAACAGCAGCAAGTCTACTAGTGCTCCTACCAGCATTGCTGTGTGTACCAGTACTGATGAACAATCAGCAGATGAGACTTGTTCCACCAACAGCAACAGCAACAGCAACAGTAGTGAATCCACAGGATCTCAAGATGATGACAATCAACTTCAAGTTCAACTAGATCTAGTAGAAGAAACTGAAGTACAAGATCAGAAGGAGGAGGAAGAGGAAGAAAGAGCCAAGAGCATTCGATGGTCAGCTTGGGTAGAACAAGAAGAACAGAGAAGAGCTGCTGATCCAAACAGAACCAAAACTGGAGCAAGACCCAGGAGAACAAAAAAGAAGAAAAAACAACTCAAACAACCTCAACAGCAACCACAACAGCAACCACAACCAACTGATCTCTCCCTAGAGCAACAATCTAGATACCAACAGCAACAACGATACAGAAGAGCTGTTCTACAAAGACTTAACCAGCAAAAACAACAAAAACAGCAACCAGCACAACCTATGGAACAAGAAGAATCACCCACCAACAAGACTGCCCTTCTCTCAGCCAACAGACACCTCATTGGACCAAGAGTGGCAAGCCATTTACGACCTGTCTGATGATTCAGACGATACTGATGATTCAGACGATGATATTGACAATGATGATTCTGATGATGACAACTAACACTGGTATACAACGACAGCATCAGTCTAGGAACAAGGTCGTCCATCGATTCAGAGCTTTCCGATGATGATGACGAAGATGTATACTACGACCACGAGGAATCAGATGATGACGACGACGTTTACATGGATTGAGTAGAAAGTTTGTACCTGTACCATACTATTAGTAAACAATAGTAAACAATACGGTAGTAAACAGATACGTCTAGCTAGATACCAATGATTTTGGGTCAAACGGCTGTAGCACTGCAGTTAGTTGCATCATCAACCAACTATTGAGATTTCGGTTTGGTGGATGAGTCGCAAGCAAGTCTCTTCCTACAGAGAGAGGACGCTTTAGCTAAAACAAACCACTTCCATGGCATACAAAGGAAGGACGACCATCAACCCAATGATAAGCATACACATCTGGATCAAGAAATTTTGTCCATCGGCAACCTGCGCCATTTGGATTCCCACGTTGGCCCACCAGGCAATTCCATCCAGCAGCCATGTTCCCCCACCATGTACGTGTGCACAAACAAGCCGCACGGGCGTAAGAGCCAGGTGCATTCCATAGTGATGAGTAATCGGCACTTTGTATCCATTGGCAAACCGAGGATACTCATCATCATCATCACCGTCATTGCCTACCGGTAGATGCATCTAATTACTACATGTAGTATTGGGAAAGAGTGAAACATACAAGGATGCGACAATGCCGTCCACCACGACAGTGCCCGAAGGAGTGAAGGGAGCATACACACCATCGTGTCGAACCACTTGTCGTACTGAGGTTATCGTGACGGAGGCCGTCGAATGAGAGTCTCCGACAAGCTCCTGGCCGATCTTGACGGAACTTGATTTGACATATCGGCCTCCTTCTACCTTCACAAGATGATTGGCGGTCATCTCGAGAGGTTTCTGGAGCTTCCCTCAATCATGGGTGATGGAGAAACCGACCCTAAATCCGACCCTAAATCTTTGAAACCCGTCCCTAATTCTATTGGAGAATAGGGTCGGGTTCGAAAGAGTCGGTTTTGAAACCCGACCCCAAATTAGGGTCGGATTTCGATGTATTTACCATTCAGTCCCGTTTCTATTTAGGGACAGTTTTCAAACCCGACCCTAAATCGAAATCCGACCCTAAATTAGGGACGGTTTTTCAGAAACCGTCCCTATTTTTAGGGTCGGTTTTGAAACCCGACCCTAAAGGGAATCCGTCCCTAAATCCGTCCCTAAATTAGGGTCGTTTCAGATTTAACTTCATACACGATTGAGGAACGCTCCTGGTTGGTAAGAATCGTTTCGATCTGAACAAAGACTGCCGACGTTGTGGGCTTCCAGTGTCCAAACACGTAGATTGGTTCGTGCGTGCCATCCCCTGAGAGAACTTTGTCTCCCACCACGAGATCTTTCATTGCCGCTGTGCCCTGGTTCAGCACTTGGACCATGGAAGTGGCAGAGAAACATAGAGTTGTGGATCCTCCTGCATCGTTAGGATCACAGTTTGAATCAACATAGCAGTACTGTGCCCCAACGCAAAGGTTTAAACCTTGGTTGGCGTTGCTGCACTTGTTGCAATATCCATAACACTCGCGGTTATAGCAACGTCTTTCTCCTTGACCTGAGTCGTTCTCTAAGCGTCGAATCCTCAGGCTTGTGGCCCTGCTGTCCTCATGCTGGGACCGTACCGGTATGTATTTCCCTTTTGAAGATACATGTACTGGTACTCAGGGCTAAGATAGATCTAAACGTCAAAGTAAATGAGTTCTTCATCTTTGTACTGGAATACAATTGCTTAGGTTCAAAATAAAGAAGAAGGTTTCCAAACTTGTGAGCTTTGCTTGCCGGAGTAGAAAGGTGCACGTCTCTTTTGGCTTTGGAAATGAGCGATATCGATACCATCCGCGACAGCCGCTCAGTCCATTCCTTGCCTACCGGTACCGTAACAGCATCCATGATTGTAATTGTATGTTTGCTGAAAGATATCTTGTTCTAGCTAGCTAGCTAGTTTTGCTACCACGCATGTCGATGGGACTACCGTGTTCGTGAATTTTGTGAGGAGCATTGGGTCGTTGATCCAGGCCCGTATCTTCGTGACATTGAGTCGTGCTTGTGCAAAAGTGTGACTCGACTCGACTCGACGAACATGACAAAATAAATGCTCCTCTCATACATGTACCAGGAGCGTTCCTCAGTCGTGCAAGTGTCTTAAATCTGCCTCTAAAATAGGGGCGTTTCGGGAATCCGCCCCTAAATCACAAAACGAATAGGGGCAGATTCCAAACCCGCCCCTAAATGGCAAAAACGCCCTTATTTTAGGGGCAGATTCCAGAAACCGCCCCTAAAAAATAGGGGCGTTTTCCAAACCCGCCCCTAAAATAGGGGCGTTTTCAATGAATTTACCATTCAGTCCCGTTTCCATTTAGGGGCGGATTCCAAACCCGCCCCTAAATCGGCAAAACGCCCCTATTTTAGGGGCAGATTCCAGAAACCGCCCCTAAAAAATAGGGGCGTTTTCCAAACCCGCCCCTAAGGTAATCTGCCCCTAAATCTGCCCCTAAAATAGGGGCGTTTTGGATTTAAGCTCACCCACGATTGAGGAACGCTCCAGGTAGTACATGTACTTCGTACGTGCTACTGGGGGTGGAGAAATCCAGTGACATCCAATGTCAACCAAGGTAAACCATGACCAAGACAGTGGTTGACAGTGGTCGACAGTCACACTTTCAAAAAGGATAGTTGTTGACAGTGGTAAATAGTCATACGATTTTAACAAAGAGTGACCTGATAGTGGTAAACAGTGATAAAACAGTAGGAAAGATAGTGGGAAACAGTTATGAGACAGTGGTAGGCCATGTTGAAAGGAAACTCCATTTCGCAAAACAGTGGTTGGCAGTTATTTCATGACTGAAAGCAGTGGTGAGCATGGGCTGGTATTGATCTCCACCCCCCTGATGAATAGTACATGCAGACATGATTCAATCGATTCGTCTCATCGTACCATATTTTTTAAATTTATATTGCATTCCTTGGAAGCTTTAGATTCGTACATTGCAGTGCAGTATGGTGCAGTGTGGTGCGGTGCACACAAAAATCGTCAACGAAAATTGCCTGCAAAACTCATAAAAGAAAGTCCAATGATAATTCAGAAGTAATACTTACTAGCTAGTACAATACTGAAAGTGTTGGGGAGAAGTGTTTGGGAGCAGTGTTGGAGAGCAGTGTTTCCAAATTTGCAGAGGTATGCCATTCTCAGCTTGCCTTTTGAAATAGATGCTAGCTATTAGTAGAGCTATTAACTGGCTTTGGCTACATGTAACTTGACGCGAATTCGGCTTCTTGCAAACTCTTGAAATAGGTTTTTGCAGGGGGCAAATTCGGTTTTTGATTCGTTGATTGATTTGATTGGTCGATTTGAATCTAACAGGAACCAGTACTTAACTTCAAGTTTGACTTCAAACTTGTTAATTACACTCAAGCCAGCCGGCCCAGCAGTCTGCAACAGAAGCTTGCCGCAAACACTCCAAAATTGGATTGTAGAAATTTTCCGGAGTAGTTGAAAATGGGTATAGGAGGAGGCCACTTTTGTTGTTCGGTTCGGCCTTCCCGAAGTCCAATTTCCCAATCTGAAAAACGTTGTTGGGACTGAGCCTCAATGGCCGTGACCTCCTTCATTTTTTAAAGTTGTGGATTCAGCAGCTATGACACCGAACATTCAAGATATCTGGCTGGTACTAGCTAATAATAGAGTAGCTTTTAGTAGCTTGTTGCTTAGCAGGTGTTGAGCTGG